AAAACCAAGAAATTAGCGGTTCAATTTTAGACTAGTTTTGATCGTCATAACAAATGTTGGTATGATAATAAACAAAGTCTCAATTATCACAAAATGGAATCAAATCCAGTAAATTTCGCAGGCTAGCGATGATATCGACAGTTGATAATGCCCTCGATAAGTTAATTAATGTCTAATTAATAATCTAGATAACATTTCAGGCCCAAAGAAAGAGCTACAATAGGCAGATTTACCTCTTGCATAATGTATGTTTAATTGTATGCTTAGGATACCTTACACGTCTGTAAATCTTCTCTGGCTCTGATTTTGTGTCAAAATGTTTAAAGCCTCTACTCATCATTTAAAGGATTGTTAATCCCTTGCAATATTGTGGAAGTTGAATCTCTAATAGGAATATCAATCCAAAAATCTTTCCATTCCATTCAGGAACCACTGTGGCTAAGTGAGTAAGACGCTAGCTTGCTAGTCTGGAGGTGGCGGGTTCGCTCCCGGTGTTGGCCGAGAAAGTTCATTGGGATTTTCCGGCGCGGTTTCCCATTGTCAGTGGTGCAGGATGGAGGGTCTGATATGGACAGCTGTCTAGTCGTTTGGATGGGATTTTAAAAAAAACGAGGTCATGTGTACACGTTGCCGTGCATGTAAATGATGCCACGGCAGTTGGAATTCAACATAAGAGTGGACTGTAGAGTCGCTGTCTGGGCAAAATTTCCCTCATAGCAAACTGTATGGCGTATGTCCGTCTTCATTAGCCCAGTCAGAGCAGAACAGTAGGATGTTAAACTCCATTTCATTTCATTCTGTTAAGTATTTACAAAGATATCAAGAATTAAGAATTTGTCCACATTCAATATCCTCAGATGGTAATAGGTCAAAGTAAGTCATCTATAATCCTGACAGTTGAAATTCAATTAACAGTAGGCAGAAATACTGCTATCTAGGCAAAATTCCCTCATGATATTCATATCACACTGCATGGACTATACATGTTTTCATTAGTATAGTTAGTGCAGAAAAGTAGAATATCAAATCCTTTATGTATTTCATTTCATTTTATAAATTCTTTATAACTTATGTAAACATTTATAAAACATGAAATGCACAGCGCCTATTTACAAAACTTGTAAAACATGAACACATTATGGAACAAGGGTTGTTTGTATGTTCCATAAAACATTCAAATATTATTAGGCCAAACCATTTTAATTTTCTGTTCTTCAGGGTTTTAATAAATAAATATCTACTTGAATCACATGAAAGATACAGTAACCCTCGCACATACGAACGAAAGCTTGAAATGTGCCTTTGAATCAATTATTATCTGACTCTTGCAGCTTATCTCTAATCGAGCTAAGATTGAATTTTGGTCTTTGGCTAACTTGGATCTTCGCTTAACTCAGATAAAATTGGTCGGTCCACTTAGATCAGACTTATGTGAAGTTTACTGTATTTTGTTTAAAATCACAAAACTTACAAATTTGGAACTAAAAGCCTTTAAACAGTACAAACAACTACTTTTGTTTTCTAAATTACCGGTAGTCTTTTTCCTGTAGAAATTCTTACAGGTGTTACTGAAAATCAGAAAAACAAATTGGTGTGGACTAAGAGCAGCTACAGTAGTAATAATGTCAACATCTCAAGGGTATGATTTACTTGAGTTTGACATATAATAAAAGTCAATAATAGATGATATGTTCATGGTAGATTTTATTTCCATAGTCCTTAATCAAACATTTACTCATTATAGTCAATGTTTATGGACGTGGGCAAATCTGTGTTTTTCTTGGTCACCGCCCTGTTTTCTTTGTTTTTGTTCTGAGTCTGTGCCCAGTTCATGTTAATGTTACTTGAAGGGGAATTCAACATTTTATAAATACAATTTCAGTTATCACAGTTTGAATAATATAATTAGAAATATGCATGTAAACTGTTTAATTTTTAATACAGTATACATGTATGACAAATTATTTGGATCAATTTCTATGTCCTGATCAATATTACTACCATTTTGAAAATTTTCGTGGTTTACCTGGGGGTGGGGGGGGGATGGCTGAATGGTTAGCGTGTGCGCGCTGTATCATAAAGTCTGTCATTGAGTCGACTGGATTGGTTTCAGATTCCCGGTTGTACGTGACAAGGAGTAGGGTCGCCTGTCCAACCTCGTGGGTTATCTCCGGTTTCCTCCCACTGCTAAAGACCCCTACGTGCAAGCGAATTATTAAAATAAAATTAAACCATATGTTAGTCCCGAAATGATCTAGTTTGTGTCAAGTGGACGTTAAACCCCATTTCTCTCTCTCTCTCTTTGGTTTACTTGGGTTAACGCATTGGATCAGGTCTGTGATTGAGTAAACTGGTGTGGTTTAGATTTCCCGCTTGTATCTGACAAGGACTAGTGTCGCCAGTCCAACCTTGTGGGTTTTCTCCGAGTCCTTCGGTTTCCTCCTACTAATAAAAACCCCAACACGGAAGCAAATATTTAAAATGAGATTGAACCATGTGTTAGTCCCGAAATGACATAGTTTGTGTCGAGTGGACGTTAAACCGATTTCTCTCTCTCTGTGGTTTATCTTGGGTTATGTTTTATGTAAATCACAAGTCCTACATAAACAAGATAACTTTTACTTTAAATATTTTTTAAAAATGTGTTTAATTGAAAATAGTATGCCTCGTCACAAATCGAAATACCAAATTAACCCTATTCAAAGATTTACTTTATACATAATCAAAGTCAATACGCTACTTTAAATAAATCTTTTTTTAAAAATGTGTTTACAGCATGTCTCGTCACAAATCGAAATACCAAATTAACCCTATTCAAAGATTTATTTTATACATAATCAAAGTCAATACGCTACCTTAAGACCATCTTTACAACACCTGTATGTGTGAAGATATTGTACAGGTATCGACCAGATAAAACAATATTTTATAGAGTAAATACACAATAACAACCTTCCATAGACTAATTAACCTACATAACATATCAACATTTGTTGCTTAAAGGGACAATAACACTCTTGCTGGCTTGACAGCTCCAGAAATTAAAAAATAGCCTTATTCTAAGTACTACATGTGTAAGTGCCCTACCTGTTGTGTAAATTATCCATTAAATCCTATTTTACTTGTCCAGAGGGTTCAAAAATATTTTTAAATCCAAGTCACATTTGAAAAGCTTTACGTCAGGCTTTTCAAATCATTTAGTTGAATTTTTCCAGTTTTTTAAATTAGGTGTGTTAAGATGAAATTTGTATCATCAATTAATTGGAATATTGTAAAATAGTGCAATTTGTTGACCAGAATAAAGATTGGGACATATTATTCAGTTACAACAAGAGTGGTATTGAGCCTTTAAAGTCGCTAATCGTCCTTTTCATTTCTCGGAAAATGTCAAACATTTTACGACTCAATTCACTCCAAAGTGTATTCAGATAGATTAGCATTTAATTAAACATACATTATGCAAGAGCTAAATCTGACTATTTCAGGTCTTTCTTTAGGCCTGAAATGTTATCTAAATTATTAATTAGACATTAATTAACTTATCCAGACCATAATCAACTCTCGATGGCATCAGATTTCTTCGATATAAAATAGATTAGAACAGTTCAGCCATATTTTGATTTAAGCTAAAAATAGAGGAGTGAAACTTAGCTTCGAACAACCAGTATTGTGGTTGAAATTATTGCACACATCTTTTTAAACCAGCAAAGGCTAATATCTTCGCCCGAAATAGAGTAATTTGAATGAAATTTTCAAATTATTCATTTTACCTGATCTATTTTTGAGCTATTATAGCAAAAATGGCTAGTTTTTTTTTTTTATCTAAATCTTACATAATGTATCTTTAAGAAAGTGAAATGAAATGAAATGGGGTTTAACGTCCTACTGTTCTGCTCCTAACCTGGGCTAATGAAGACAGGCATACGCCATACAGTGTGCTATGAGGGAAATTTTGCCCGGGTATATCGAATTCCAACTGCCAAGGGATCTTTTACATGCACGCTAATGTGTACACGGGACCTCGTTTTTTTCGTCCCATCCAAACGACTAGACAGCTGTCCTTGTCAGGCCCTCCGTCCTGCATCACTGACAAGGGGAAACCACGCCGGAAAATCTGGATGAACTTTTTAATCCAATGCAGGGATCGAACACCCGACCTCCAGGCTAGCAAGCCAGCGTCTTATCCACTTAGCCACGTGATCCCCCTTTAATAAAGTAAAATCAAAATATCAACTGTAGATAATCCCCTGGCTTGTATTCAATCATATTAAAATCAGACCCATCAAATAGATTTTGCAAACATGTTAAGATGGCGGGTGTGTTATAATATCGGGACGTCGTCCAATAATAAACAGACCTGTAATTTAAATATTTTATCCAACGGTCAGGTGGTGCTGGCTTTACTTTAGTATAAATGATAATAATAATCTGCTTGCAGTATCCCACAAACCATTCGGTTATAACCAAGCAGGGAGCCACGGTGGCTAAGTGGGAAGGGCGCTAGCTCGCTAGCCTGGAGGTCGGGTGTTCGATCCCTGCATTGGCCGAGAAAGTTCATCCCGATTTTCCGGCTTGGTTTCCCCTTGTCAGTGATGCAGGACGGAGGGCCTGACAAGGACAGCTGTCTAGTCCTTTGGATGAGACGAAAAACCGAGGTCCCGTGTAAATATTGGAATGCACGTTAAAGATCCCTTGGCAGTTGGAATTCGATATATAAGTAGGCGATAGTGCTGCTGCCCGGGCAAAATTTCCCTCATAGCACACTGTATGACGTATGTCCGTCTTCATTAGCCCAGTATGTAGCACACAGCATGGCATATGCCCCGTTTCATTATACCATAGGATTTGAACCCATTTTATTTCAGAAGTGTACATGTACGTTATGTACAGCTGTCACACGAGAATCTGTGCCCTAAATATTCCTACAACAAGATATTATTAAAGATTTTTGTTTATGCCACTTTTTCTTGTATATTTAAATTAATTTTGTTTATTTACAGAAAGAGGAAAGAAGACAACAGCATGCTACCAAAGAAACAGAATTTTTACGATTAAAACGATCTCGACTTGGTGTAGATGATTTCTCACCACTAAAAGTCATTGGAAGAGGCGCATTCGGCGAGGTAAGTTATTTCTAGATCTCAGGCTTTAAGCGGTGCTTACATGACACAATCAATCCATTGAATCGTTGGATGCAACAGTCGAATGAATCCAACCAATTCATCATAGAAATGCCTGGATGAACCTCTTGCTGCTTGAATAGAACAAGTTCTATTCTCATTATTGCATTACTAAGATTGAACAAATGACACAGCACACATATAGGGTACATTTGGTGTCATTTTGCCATAAAAAACATACACTGTCATACAGCCATTCTATCGAGTAAACAGCCTGACAGTTGTATGGACTTGTCGTATCGTTCAAATGCCGTTTTATTTCTTGTTTTTTCGTGGAATAAAAATCGTATATATATGCATTTCTTATTGGATTTCTGAAATCAGCTTTACATATAGCAGATCAATAAACCTTTACAGAAATTCTTATATTACAAAGAAACGTATTTTGTTTCTAAATCCCAGTCTTTATTCCTTGCTCTTTAACTGAAAGACTTCTAAAGTTAACTCTGCATACAGAAAATCAATATTACACTTTAACAGAAATTCTTACATTACAAAAATAGATATTTAACAAAGTTTCCTAAATGGATCTTATTCTCAGCTTGTAGATACCATCAGTAACATTTATAATATTAATTGCACAGAATTGTTTTTCCCCTCACTAATTATGTTTCCATTACATGTTCTCTAGAGCATTACCTTAAGGGTGATCAATGTTTTCTTGCACTGACTACTGGTACATACAGATTATATCATAGTGAAAAATTTATCTAAATAAAATAGAGAGAGAAAGAGAGGGTTTAACGTCCACTCAATACAAACTAGGTCATTTCGGGACTAACACATGCTTCAATTTTATTTCAATAATTCACTTACGCGTAGGGGTCTTTAGCAGTGGGGGGAACCAGAGGATCTAGAGAAAACCTACTCCTTGTCACGTACAACCTTAGAATCAAAACCATGCCAGCTGACTCAATAACAGACCTGATGATACAGCGCGCATGTGATAACCATTCAGCCATCCCCCCCCCCCCCCCTTTAAAAAAAAAGAAGAAAGTTTGTTTGTGGGTTCGCTTATGGAAAAAAAAATGATGGAACTTATAAATTTTAGAATAACTATGTAGTATTCAATTAATTTTATCCAAAACATACTATACATGAATGCATGGCCCGTTACCATTAGCAAGATTCTTAATATTTCTGGCGAATGTTTAACTCAAAATTATAACTATATAAGACAACTCAACTCGACGACGGCGCCAATAGCTGAACTAGTAGTAAAAGGACTCGCCTATAACTTTAGATAATCTGCGTTTTATCTTGGTTGAGTTTAACATCAGCGGTTTTGAGATGAAGAGGTGTTGATCAGTTCGTAGGACAAAATTTGTAACCAATAGGGCAGATTTTTCAGTTTGATGGGAAGATTTGTTATTGATATAAAAGCTCAAGAAAAAACCCACTTGTGTGACTCGGCCTTCAGTTAGACAGTTATAGAGACTTAAACGTCTACCACTTTGAAGTTTTTTTAAGCAATTGGTTATAATAGATCATAAAAATCCTTCAAATAAAGTAGACCACCATTCAATATAATATCCTGTATAGGTCGAGACCTAGTAATATTTAATAGATGGCTTACCTCTGTCAACAAGATTTAATAATATTATATTTCTCCTAATATTCAATCGTATCCGGTCTCTGACAGATAGTAAAATTTTTATATTTATAAACTTGAATTATTTATATCAGGTTTTATGTGACCATAAAACTGCTGATTGTCATTTGCATTTTTGGACAGTATTTAAATTTACATGGCTTAATGCACACTAATATTTTATTTAATTAAAGATACATTATGGGAGATTAGATAAAGAGCTGGCAGTTCTCAGTATAATAGTTAAAAACTAGATAATGTTAAGGGAATTTGCTGAAAATTTCAATCAAATTGATCCCCTCTGAACCGAGAATTTAGTGATTGAATTTTCGGCCTTGCCTCGATCATTATTACTAAAATCGGTAAAACATAGTTTTGATTATCCATTTCATAATTTAATCATGAATGAAAGTTGAGTGGCAGATCGGATCCTAATCCAGTAAATATCACAGGCTAGCGATGCCATCGAGAGTTGATTATGGCCTGGATAAGTTAATTAATTTCTAATTAATAACTTAGATAACATTTCAGGCCTAAAGAAAGACCTGCAATAGGCAGATGTAGCTCTTGCATAATGTATGTTTAAGGAATCAAAACCAGAATATCGACTGTAGCTATAGTCTCCCGGTTGGGACTTAGTCAAATAAAAAATAAGCCGATCAAAAGATTTATGGCGTTGGATTGTAAACACTGAATGGAATGGAAGCAATTTGGCACTGATATTTCTTTTAGAGATTCAGCACCTTTAAATACTTTATTAATCTTGGGTTTGATGTGGGAGCCATGGTGGCTCAGTTGGTGAGATGTTGGCTCGATAACCTGGAGGTCTCTTGTTCGATCCCTGCATTGTCCGAGAAAGGTCAGCGTGATTTTTCTGCGGGTTTCCTCCCTATTGGTGGTGCACGACCGTGGTCCTGGCAAGGAAAAATGTATAGTCATTCGGCTGAGAAGAAAAACTGGGGTCCTGTGTACACATTGGCGTGCATGTAAAAGTTCCTATAACAGTTGGAATTTGATATAAGAGTAGGCCACACTGTATGACCAAAAATGTCACAAGCAGAAAATCATCATAATTCTGCATTAGGTATGCTACATGATTTTCAAGCTTTCAATTATAATTTGGAAGCTGCCAGATATTGTGAAGCAAATTATACTGTTGGCATCACTATCAAAGCAGAGTCAAGCACAGCTTCTCCCAGAATGCTACTTTGTTATAAGCAAATTATAGTACCTGCAATGTTGAAACTTCTAGATCTCACACAAATATGTAAAAGCAACCATAAAAATGTTGTGAGAGAACAGAAATGATAGGCCTTTTTAAAATCCAATTGAATCCAAGTCAAAAGGTAATCAACATTGGTATTTTGATTATGACAATTATGTATTCTTAGTTGCTCAATCTGAGAATATATTAGTATGGATTAAGCCGTGAGAAATTTGATATTTTAGCGACAAATGCAAATGACGCATGGTTACTTTAATGGATAGAGGATAGTATGTGTAGAGCTTTTTTTATTGCACATTATAACCGAGGTTTAACATCCACTCATCACAAATTAGGTTATTTCAGGACTAACATATTGTTCAAATTTATTTAAATAATTCACTTGCATGTAGGGGTCTTTAGCAGGTAACCAGAGAAAAACCATATGGTTAAAAGCAGGAGACCTAGTACTCCTTGTCAGGTACGAGCGGATAATCGACATAACACATGACTCTTGTTAGAGACCTTATGATCTAAAGGAGTCACGCTGGCTAAGTGTGTAAGATGCTGGCTCGCTAGTCTGGGTTTGATCCCGGTGTTGGCCGAGAAAGTTCATTGGGATTATTTCAGTGTGGTTTCACTTTGTCAGTGGTGCAGGACAGAGGGCCTGACAAGGACAGCTGTGTAGTCATTTGGATGGGGCAAAAAACAAAGATCTTGTGTGCACATAAAAGATTGCTTGGCAGTTAGAATTCAATATAAGAGTAGGCTGTAGTGCCACTGTCGGGGCAAAATTTCACTCATAGCACACTGTATAGCCCAGTCGGAGCAGGACAGTAGGACATTAAACACCATTTCATTTATGATCTAAAGCGCACACGTTTAACTATTCGGCCACCCTGTGAAGTTTATGCAGTAAATGTTGTCTATGAATATGTCTAGTTAACAGGTAGAGTAGTTTACTACCTGTGGTTATACACATTAATATGTCAATATCATGCAAGTTGTATTATAAATGGTCGATATACTATAGAACATGACAGCTATATTTATAATAGATTAAGTTATGACTCATCTAGGTAAACTCAGGTATTGTTCAGGTGTTAATTGGATTCTAACTTTTATTCTAAGATTTTTTTTTTTTTTTTTCAAAATGTCAGTGACAGTTTTTTTTATTATACATCAACTCTCTTTATATACAATTTGTACTAGCATTTAAGATATGGGTCAAACTTTTATATTGAATTAAATAGGCTTTTAACCGTGCTTATGTAGTATTTATGACGAATAAAAAGAATTAATAGATTTTATTAAATTAATTGACAAATTAAATCCACATTTTTATATATTCTTTTCAATTGAAAGAGGTCAAGTCCTTTCAACAAGACCAAATAAACGTGAAATAAATGTTCTAGCCCTTCAAGTTCAAGTATAGTTTATTGAATAAATTAACAAGCCAGATCATCAAAACATCTTGTTATAACAGATTAACCCTACACAGGGACCACATGCTACGAGATTTATTTGTTTATCATTTACCAATTTCCGTTGATGGTTGGGGATCACATGGCTAAGTGGGTAAGACGCTGGCTCACTAGCTTGGAGATCGAGTGCTCGATCCCTGCATTGGCCAAGAAAGTTCATCCAGATTTTCCAGCGTGGTTTCCCCTTGTCAGTGATGCAGGACGGAGGGCCTGCTGTCTAGTCGTTCGGATGGAACGAAAAACCGAGGCCCCGTGTACACATTGGCGTGCCCATAAAAAATGTCATGGCAGTTGGAATTCGATATCAGAGTAGGCCGTAGTGCCGCTGTCCGGGCAAAATTTCCCTCATAGCACGCTGTATGGCGTATGCCCGTCTTCATTAGCCAAGTTTAGGAGTAGGACGTTAAAGCCCATTTCATTTCATTTCATTTCATTTCCGTTGATGATCTTTATCAAAACCCTACCCTCTAAACAGATTCAGAATCTTAACTAAGTGCAGTACAACCGACATGACAAACTACATGTACACAGACATTGCAAGAAATAAACACCTAATATCAGTTCTATGGAATACAATTACAGCTTATTACTGAGCGACGTTTCGACTTGACTCGCTCAGTAATAAGCTGTAATTGTGACCTGTATACTCCAGTTCAATTACTAA